ACTTTTTGATACAGTTACTACGTCATAAATCACATTTGCCCAAAAAAAGACGTCAAATAAAATGTTAGCAGCAAAATTATTGGCTATTTTGATATACTTAATTTAGAATCGAACAAGATAAATGAAATTAAGGTAGTTTATAGTCAAGTTTTTTTTTATTACAGGTATTAATATTACTACATACTTTTTGTAACATAAGTTGTGATGGTTACTAACATATTCTGAATAAAAACAAATAGTTAATATTTGTCCCTGAGTTAGAAATTATGGGCTTTCAGAGAATATATAAAAAATTGGTACCATTTTACTGCTTAAAAGATCAAGTTTTATGTCCTTTCACGTTATGACTGTTCATAAATTATATATATCCAACTCACAGAAATAAATAATTGCGCGCGTCATGTGTTTTTTGCTGTATTTTTACTTCTCTGGTAACTGATCAATTTTCCCATTGCAATCTTCAACTTCTTTTGAGATTTCATAATTGTGAGCACCTGTGACCTTAAACACTGCACAAACGTTGACACACCTTTTCCTAATCTGAACTTACAGAAAAATACAATCTCAGTCACGTTCGTCTTACTATTTAACTCTCGAGATAAGAGGGCTTTGTTCGTACTTGTCTTCCGTTATGTTTGCCTTAGTTTCGGCCTGTTTGGGCAAATAGAACATCCGCAGTGTTTCGAACACTATAGGTACATTTGTTAAACCAAACTCTTTGAGATACAGGTGTCAATCATTGTGTTCTAACAATGGTGGTATTGATCGAATTTAACATGATAGGCAGCCTTTTTCGGCCGTAGTAAATGTATTAGGTGGATTTAATTAAGATATTACATGTATTTTTACCTCGAATAACATATATTCGTAAAAATACAGTCATCGTCATCATAATCAGCTTACACGCATCTATTGCTGACATCATCTTCCTCCCGAGTACGCCAACTCTCCCGGTTCCGTGCTGCCCGTACCAGCCGCTACCGGCCATCTTGCTCAGGTCGTCCGTCCATTTGCTGCGGCAAGTGATGACCTACAAAAGTACAGTAGCCATACATATCAAATTTTAACGTATCGTCTATAGCAGATTACGTTAATTTGAAACTTTAATAGATATTCTATCAACAAATACAGGGCGAAGATGCCAAGCTGAAGCTAACAAGTGAGTTGTCAATTTTACAACCCACGTTATATGTAGATCACGATAAGTTCGGAAACCCCTTCCGGAAGCTGAGACTTTTGATAACAATACAATAACTGTCACATTACCTGACAGCGGAAACCTGTCAAGGACCAAAAGGATGGGGCCTTTTGATCGTTGACAGGTTTGTAGCAAATTTATCTAACACACTATGCATTATTGAAAATATATTCGAAATTTACAACATCATCAATGCGTGATTCAAGTATTTTTACATACGCTACAATGAAACCTAATGGAGAGTAAAAACGAGGATGCTACAAATACTTTTGTTCCATTGGCAGAAGTTACTAGCGGTACACAAAAAAAAATGAATATATGAACCCGGAACTCCAATTCCCGTGTAATTCATTATCCAACGGCATCAAACCAAACTCAACGCAATCTCGATCTGCATTAATAGGGTCTCTCGGTACCACCGGTAGTCACAAACGGAATTCCAATTATAGAACGCAACTTAGAGGTGCCATATCTATCCGTTGTTATTTTAATTAGTCCAGCAACGTTCTAGTACCAAACCAGTACCGATACCCGGCCACGTGCGACTTGCTTACTTAGGATACACTCAGACCGGCACCCGGTTGCATAGAGTAAGCAAAATCGGAACATTCTCTCACCAAACCAGTTGGGGCGGTTCCTATTAATACATCTGACGTTTAGTTTCTGTTTAATGAGTTTTTGGACGAAATGAGTTTATACTTGTCTTTTTACTGAGGTTTCTTACGATTATGAACCATAGCAGCCGTACCAATGGTGTTTATGCCTTTAATTTTATTACATACTTTTTATTTAGCTTACGTATTTTGTAATTGCTTTACTATATATTTTTATGTCCCAACTAAGTAAATTGAACTGATAATTGTTTGTTATAAGACCTGTATCAATTATGTCAATACCTCTGAAACCTTTCTCCGTTTTATTTAATTAGCTCGAAATCTCAACATTAGCTAAAGCTTTCTAATTTGTCAACATCTATTTAGATCCAAAGGGCCCAAAGAAACTGTTGTTGTTCTAAATACGCAGTATGACTCATTGTCGTCTAGACGCAATGCGGTTTGCATATATTGCAACAGCAAGTACAATTGCTGAAAAAAAAATTAATTAATCACAATGTCCACGCATAATATAAGTTCGTCTTAAAGGAGAATAGTGCTACAGTAAAGATAACGACGTAGCATTGCAAAACATATGTAAATATTGTAAACTACGTAAACAATATACTAAATTTCAAAATGCAGTTCTACAACCAGCTCGAAGATATTTATGTTCTTTGCGTCTTATATTCTTGACTAAGTAATGGAATTGCCCATTAAAAGATGATATACTGATCACATGCAATGTTATGACGTAACTAAGAGCTTTGCATATTACTCGAGCTTTCGCCGCATTATCTAGGCATCTGGGCGCGAAAACAATGGGCCCATGCGGCATGCGTTGCGTTATCTCAGATCTGGCTCTTACTACACTGCTCTCCTAATGAGGAACGCTGTTCCACAGTATAGTTTGTACTTTACCAATAGTAATGTCACTACGTACTTCAATAGTAGTGGTAGTTGTTTTGCATCTTAATGTGACATTGCTATTTAGATCGTGAACAAGACGAATTGTGTAAATGACAAAGGAAAAGATAAAAATCAACCACAGGTAGTTACGAAAGAAAATCTGTCTTCTTGGCTAATCTGCCTTTTGTTTTATCAATAGCTACTAAGTACAAAGTTTTACAAAGTAACGCTCAAATATACATCGTGCACACATGAAATGTAAATTTAAAATCTAATTGAATAGACTGCTTTTATACTGAAGTATCACCCACTCTGTGGTTGTTCTATTTCTCAACTCAAGTGCTAATTGAGAAGCTAGGAAGTTAGAGAAATTTGAATGCGGTATAATTGGACTTAATTGAACTGCGGATAGTTTGGACAAACTTAGGAAGGAAAATATTTGATATTTCGCAGGTGGTGTGAATATTTGGTAAGAAAATATTAGGTATGTAAATAGATTCTACAGACAATATCGGATGAAGACGCTTTAAAATAAAGAAAATATAGTAATGGTGTGGGTGGCAACATTGTCGTCTTCATCGTCACTTTCCGTGATATGTAATAGAGGTCCAAAGCTCATTTTTTATGATGCGAAGTGACGGGACGAACAAGTCGTGCGCCTGGTAGTAATCGACACACCTGTCAATAGCAGTTCCATCGCCACACAGAGCTTTAAATGGTAAAGATCTGAGGGGCTTTGTCACTGAGCCCGTCACCCTGAAACATAAGTTTACAAGTCCCATATGATCTTAATTAAATCCAGGTTAACATTACTTTTCCTCAGCAGAAATAGGTAAGGTACAGTACTTCCCTGGACGAACTCTTTCACAAGGAGCTCTACTGCGACTAAAATTAATTATTTTATCAATAAACAGCAAAAAAACTTTCGGAAAAAAATTGCAGAAGCATAGAACAAAATAATTCATGCACACTAGCAGCGGTAAAAATGTCTTAGCGTCCATACTGCTCTGGAATTGGCCACAAAATCTCTTGATGATATCGACGTTTGTGATGATATCGTTGAAAATTCCAGCACGCTTGCCTGCGATAGTTTAGTTGCTTTATCTAGTAAGACATTGCTGCGGTTGCCGTTATAAGTATGTATTTAAAAAAGTCATAAAACAAAGTGTGAACTTTAAAGTTTTTTAATAATAATAATAATAATTGGGACACTCATACACATAATTAAATTGCTTTGCACAAGTGTGCAGGTGTCCATACGATGTTTTCCTTCACCGAAAATCTCATGGAAAAGGTGTTCAGTTTTAGCCCAAATTGTGTACCTAGGTACAACTTATTATCTGAAATTGTCCATGAAAGGATCCACTCATTGAATTTTTTTTTTGCCTCCGTGGCCGAACGGCTACCATGCTGGACTGTCACGTCACGAGGTCCTGGGTTCGATTCCTAGGCCGGGAGAAGTATGTGTATGGCCTACATTAATTTCTCTCGTGAGTTTGGGTGTGATTTGTGGTTGTCTATGTGTGGTACATGGCACCACATGGTACATGGTATTGTGAATAATTCATGTATTTTTTTATGTATTGTGTAATTATGTAGTTTGTGTGTTTTGAATAAATAAATTAAAAAACGAAACTAAATGGTTTACGCCTAAAACTAAGTGTTACTAATAGAGCATATCGACTCATCCGAAGAACAGAGTCCGATGTGATTATATAGCGAAAAGAGAATAAATACGTTACGAGAACAATTTCGTTATTCAAACTAGGTCCTATGTAAAGGTATTTTGAGAATATATATATCTTACTTCGTTTCGGAAATATAAAATCGAACAAAGGTCGATCTGACATCCACAGCGAAGAAGAACGAACGAAATGTACTATGTCCTGAGAACAAGTAGTCTTACACATAGACCTTTGTTCTACGGATGTGTCGATATGTTACTTACAAGTGAGGAGATAAAAAAATGACTTAAATATTGCAATCTACTTGAGTTCAGAGAATAATATTGACTTCTTCCGTTGTCAATTGGCTTGCACATTGATTTTTATGGTGTCTTTATCGAAAGACTCGTCCCGCCTGGGGCAATTTAAGAAAAACTAACTTTTTTTTATATTGTCTCGGGGTCTGGGTGTTTGTGGTATCGTCGTTGTTTTCGATTTCCACAACATATGTGTTTTAGTTACTTAAATAGGATCAGAATAATGTATGTGATGTAGCCTAATATTTATATTTATAGTACAAAGGACCTTAGTGGAGATATAGCAGATTAATATAACAATTTATTTCCATTGTTACAGTTTAAGTAAACCCACTGGTTTACTACTGGCTCTCAAAGGATGAGGAGTAAGCAACGATGCTGGGATCGCTGCTTTGGCCCCAACATAGACAAACCAGCAGGTTCGTATTGTTTGTATAATTTGTTAATTAAATACAGCTAGCACCTACATTATTTAGTACCACTGGACTGTTTCGGTCTGAATAGTTGCGAATAGTTTTAGTTTCTGAATTGTTTGCTAACTTATCTAGAACTATGCAGGAATTTCTTGTTAACAAAGACATTTGGAAATTATCTATGTGTATATATACACATTGGCTTTGTAGTAATATTTTTGAGAAACAATATACTTTTTGGTTGAACTTTATTGGTAATTACAGAATTGGAATTCTCATAAATGGTAGTAATGTAGCAAAATATAATTTTTATTCGTTCGTTCCGTAGCTTAGTTGGTATAGCGTCTGGCACGGTATGCTAGAAGACGTTGATTCGAATCCGGCCGGATCGAAGGAATTTTTCCTGAGTGTTCGATCTTTGTATTAATAATTATAACAAACTAGTCGAGTAATTTCACATAAAATCATTGAATACAATTCAATAAAAATGCACATAAATTCTTAATTTTTTTATGATACTAAGTAACGGGATGAACAAGTCGAGTCCTGATGGTAGACGAGACGCCTGTCAATGACAGTTGCAGTGCAACTCAGAGCTTTAAATCGCGATCTGACGGGCATGGCCACTGAGCATAACTTGACATGTCCCAAGTGCCTGTAATCACCCTTACCAGCACCCTTACTCTTCAAAACCGGAACGCGGTAATGTAAACGTTACTTGGTGGCACAAATAAGGAAGGTAGCAATATTTCTTTATTTAAATTTATTATTTATTTAAAACTAACCCACTGATGTAACTTTGTTGTAAATTCTCAGTTTTAAGCTTAGTTGCAAGGCTTTCCCAACACAAGCATATATTTGCTTAAAGGAAGAACCTGATCTACCATGAATTGTTGAACCAAATTGAGAAACAAATAAATTATTAATTTTTTTTTTACTTTCGCTGGAGGAACTCTTTCACAAGGAGCTCTACTGCTACGAAAATAATAGAATTTGATACATTGTCTTTCCAAGAAACTTCATTAAGCATTTTAATTTGAACTTCAGAACAGTTGTAAATGCCAAATTAAATTCGATTCCACTGTTTTGTGTGGCTGATTTCATAACTCTTAATAAGCTAATAAAAATTCAAACCAGCTCTTCAAGTTTTATTTTATTACTTTATTATTATTTATGTCGTTTGTTTATCTATTAACAATATCGCAACGTCAAATTAAAGTTAGATTTGGATTCGCCAATTTGTGGAATTTTTATGAAATATTTTATGATGTTGTCAGCATGAGCTTTGATATCGAAAGATTGAAAATCGCCTTCGTTGCAAAGTCCACAAGTAATTTATTTGTCAATCTATATAACAATAAAAACCATCTCGTCATACCTCTGTGTCCCTTTTTAATTTTTAGTCCACAGAAATGCATTAAAACAGCATTGTCATATCACACCCACGTTGTTTATAAAGTGTCTGAACGAGAGTCGGTTGAATAACTCATGTATAATTTCACGATTTAAATATCCCTTGCAAAATACATCAAGTGGAGAGCAATAAATAAGGGACAAATTACTCGGTACAGAACTCACTAACACGTGAGGTTGACATTTGCATGCTTGAGATATGTTTACTGCTTCGAATATAGCCGAGACGAATGTGAAGATATATGGTGTTTAATCAGAGAGGGAATTGGTTTGAAAGGTACATTATCATAGTAGTTTACAAGTAAATTGTGTCTATCAAATATAACAGTGAGTCTACCAAAATTAACAGGCAAGTGACTGGAGATTTCGAATTTCCTAACATAAACAATGATAATAAATAAGACGAAATACAGTATGTAACTAAATGTAATATTCATGATTTTGAACTACTTTAAACGATTGTTAAAACAGTGGCAAAAAATATAAACTTGAAATGGTTTTAAATTCAAGAGTACTATCTCTTTTGGCACGAATGGAATTTACAGAGGCAAAAGTTTACAAAATTCAATTTTTCGTTTTGGTAATTCATTTTAATTTTTTTCAAAATTTTAAGCTCCATTAGCACTGTAAAGGAAGATACGATTTTCTTCCTGTATACAAAATAGAATATAATTTAGCAAATTCATTCAAAGTCACATTTTGATATATTTTTTTTAATTTTATTTTTATTTATTAAGAAAACCAACGGCGTTACATAAAATATTTTACATAGTGTATAGGCTAAGACTAAAGCTATTGTTTAGATATTATTTATTTAGATATATTATTATATTGGTTAGATAATAATAATATTTTCATTTATATATATAACCACGTGAAATCTGCGAAAGTTTCTCCATGCTCCATTAAGTTTTACTAATTTTAGAATTAATAGGTATGTACCAGGGTCATTAGCGTTATATAACGAACTCGATGATGACATCGCATAGACCTTTTGTGCAATAGCATATATAAAATAAGAACATAAAAACTATTACGAATTTACGACTATTATCGAGAAACTTTTTCGTTCGTATATAGAACGTCCATATATAGAAGCTTTTTAGTATGAGATTGCTCATAATTATGGAAATAGACTTCGTAAAAATAAATGTAAGCACCTGTAATAAAATAAAATAAAATACAATTCTCAATTTCCATAATACCAAATCTGCTTACATACAGCTACAGTAGCAATAAAAGACAAAATATTAATGCAATGAAGTACAATCATGATTCAGCAAATTGAAAAGCTACAAATAAATCCACGCCTACGCAGCTAGAAAAGCAAGCTACGGTTAAACATCTCTGACACTTGAAATTCACCAACCTCCAACACTGTTGAATTAAAATAAAAAAATAAGAATTACAAAAATGTATGAACCACTCAAAATCGTTGAATTTGTTCTGAAAATCAGTAAAATATATCGTTACGGAAAGGGTTTTAAAATTTCAACATAGAGAACAATCACAGAAGTTAGCAAACTAATTAAGGATGCCTTTTATCAAGTTTATTGTTCCCTCGCCTCCTCCAAAGCCTGAGTTAGCTCCATAACATTGTTTACTAACTTCACGGCTGAATTATATTCCTGTAGTTCTCGCTGGGCATATTTAAATGAAATGTGAGACGTTTCATTAGGAAATCGCGTTTCCGTGACTCAATTTTCGTGAAGCTATTATACATCATCACAGCCGTGTCTCTTCGAAATATAAGTTTCTATTTCAATGATCGATACTGGATCTTCGTTTTGTCGGTGTCGGAATGAATTATAACTTTATAAATGGTGGTTTTGTTTATATGATGGTTATAATCATATTGTTATCAATTGCATATAGACGGTGTTTTGTAAGGATCTTTATTATTGAAATTATAAAGATATTTATTTTCTTTCATAATTGTCATTATAATTATCGTATACATGTCCGACGAGTCCTAATTCACAGTTTTTTCTCTTTAATTTTTAGTTAAAACGACATGTTTTTTTTTGAGGTTGACATTAGATATGTCTCGGATACAAACACGTGAAACGACGTTGCTCGCAGGAGTAATTTGTTGTATTAATTAATTTTATAAATATCAATAATTATCATGATAAATATCAATGATAATAATCACTTCGATCCTGATTTGTATATATGGCTTTTACATGTCTTTTATATGAGAATTGGTAATTGATTTCTATTAATACTAAGCCGTCATGTCCGCCTTACCTTTTCAGAAGACACCTATATCTGGTTTAGCTGAAATTCATTTCCTATGTTAAACTGTGCTCTTCGAGTGAGTTCTATACGGCTTATTAAGACCCTGTGTAATTGATCTCTTGTGATGGCTCTAGTCTATCAAACCATTAGAATAAAAGTGATAAGGGATAGTGTCAATAATACTAATTATTTTTTATTCATGCGTGCAAATAGCATCTACCGTATGATTACTCAAATTTAATTATTATTTATGCTTTCTATTGTAAGGGGAGTGTCTGATTAGGTGCTTAGTCTCGTAATTTCGCAAAATTCAATTTGCTGTAGACTTTGCATATTTTGTTCGACGCAAGCATGCCTCAACTGCAAGTTAAGTTGGTGATTCTATAATTCAAATCGTTCAATTCAAAGCCATATCAATCGTTGCTTTAGCATCATTTCGTAAGCAAGTTTTGCAATTCATGACTCGTTTGCACAGACGGCTTTGAGCGACAAATAGGTACTTAAGGAAGACTAATGCTTATCGACGTTATTCGGCACATTGTATTGAAATCGTGTTTTAGTACTTAAAATTAAATAACATTTAAGGTAATAACTTTCCTAATACTATTTCCGCCTCGTTCCTTGACGTAGCTACGAGTTACTAACTAACCGTATATACATATATCTACTAGCTGTTCTATCTTACTTTATCCGCGTAAAATTGTTTACATGCATTATTTATTATCATATTACTACTATTATTTTTCTTGCAGTAGAGCTTATTATTAGTCGTGTCCCTTACCTATTTCTGCCGTCAAGCAGTAATGTTAACATTACTGCGTTCTGATTTTGAAGGGTAAGGGTGTTGGTGAAATTACAGGCACATTGTCAACTTGTGTCTCAAGGAGACAGGCGTAGTGGCAGTACCCCTCAGATCTTTGCAATTTAAAGCTCTGAGTGACACAAGTGTTATGAACAGGCGTGGAGCTTACCGTCAGGCGCACGACCTCTTCGTCCCGTCACTTGATATTATAAAAAAAAACTAAAACTTCGTTCGCAATGAAAAGTAGCAGCAGTCCAAAAATTGTAGTAGCATAGTATATGGGTGTAGTACCACAGACATATATTTCGCTAGACGCCGCATGTATAGCAATTTCTATGAAAACTAAGCGTGCCGCATTTTTTGTACCCACTATGACGTCACAAGAGCTATTTAGTGATGAAACCGCCTTCCGCCCGCTCTAAATAGATTGATTGAACGGAATACGCGTAAACACGCGTATTCCATCCAATTAATCGACATCCAATTAATCGATTCTAAATAGAATATTTTTTGTTCAAGTATTTGTTGATTACAAGTTGTTGTACTATTA